AAATGAGGTAATAAATGTAAATACATAATAGCTGTCATATATTAAACATTCAATAAAGGTTAGCTCTTAGGTTGTCGGAAAAGTCATGACGTATTTTTCTGTTTTTCATTGCAAAACTGCGTCATGACTTTTCCGACCACCCAATATTATAACGGTTACAAAACAAGGAAAAAATCAAACATGCTACCCTGAGCTTTCAAAGAACTTATTCAACCATCCTTCTGACAAATACAGAGGGTGCCAAAAAGATGTATACACATTTTAAGAAAGGAAAAAACTATTCAAATTGTAATATGCAATATATACCGATAACAAACGATGACTACAAGTCACGTTTGACTTCTGCAATTACAAGAGGTGCTCAAAGTGGTTCCCATCAGCGTCCAGACACTTCTGATGACGGCAAACTACTAATTGAGCAACGCTGACCCAAGTGTCCACTTGTATACATGTTTTTGGCACCCCCAGTATGTAAAGTGCCTAATACCCAGAAGATATTTAACCAAAGCGAGTTCTCCTTCTCCTCATCAGGGATGTCCTTTAGGGATTCCAGGCATTCTAGTTCCTAAGATTGGTGGAAAGGAGGCTGCTGTTACCTGTGGGGTGTTGAACTCAGTGTGAACTTGAGCCTGAGGTCCTGAAATCACTGTCTACTTAAATTCAACACACAAGTAGCAAACACCATCTGCTTAGTTCATTCTCTGCCCCAGGGTCTGACTTGGGCAGTCCTGGCAGGGACTGAGACCCAGCCCATGGCATGACGGAATGAGGTCTAGGAACTGCAAAGACGTGTTTCCACATTTTTGCAGGATGAAGTGATCACCTCTTCCTTGACTCAGTCACTAATTCTAGCATTTGTTTTCTGCTGGGCCTTGAGTGATGGGCTGGGGATTCAGAAGTGGACAGGATATGGATCCTCTTATAGGAATCCCTTCATAGGGGAGATAGGCCATTACACGGACATGTACAGAACATGTGACCATGGGCAGCAGTCAATATTTTCACACAGGGCTGTGGTGACACAGAGTATGTGTACCTCATTCTGGTGAGAAAAGACTTCGAGGAAATAACTTCACCTGAGTTTTTAAGTACAAATAATTCTTTAGGCCAGTGTAGTCCTGGACCATCAGCATCACATAGGAACTTGCTAGAAACTCAAGTCCTCAGGCCCACTCAGACCTACTAAATCAGGCACTGTGGGGGCAGGGGAAGGGGCAGCCATCTGTGTGACTCTGATGCACATTCAAGTTTGAGAACCGCTGGCCTCTAGGTTTGAGAGGCTAGATCATAAGATTATACAAAGTCTGACAATTAAGTTCATGAACTTGTTGCAATGCTGTTGCTAACCTTTTTTGCTATCAGAGGGATTATTCATTATGAACTTGTACCAACTGGACAAACAGTTAACCAAGTTTACTCTCTGGAAGTGCTGAAAAGGCTGCGTGAAAAAGTTAGATGACCTGAACTTTTTGCCAACAATTCATGGCTCCTGCATCACGACAATGCACCAGCTCACACAGCACAGTCTGTGAGGGAGTTTTTAGCCAGTAAACAAATAGCTGTACTGGAACACCCTCCCTACCCACCTGATCTGGCCCCCAGCGACTTCTTTCTTTACCCGAAGATAAAGGAAATATTGAAAGGGAGACATTTTGATGACATTCAGGACATCAAGGGTAATATGACGACAGCTCTGATGGCCATTCCAGAAAAAGAGTTCCCAAATTGCTTTGAAGGGAGGACTAGGCACTAGTGTCAGTGCCTAGCTTCCCAAGGGGAGGACTTGGAAGGTGACCATAGTGATATTCAGCAATGAGGTATGGAGCACTTTTTCTGGGACGAGTTCGCGAACTTGTCAGAGCTCGTGTGCTGGAGGACAGCTACTGTAATTGGAAAAAGAGCTTTTCTGAAGGAGCAGAGATCAACTCACTCAGGGACTGTTAGTCCTGTGAAAGAACGCTCTCAAGTCACCGATGCAGACCCAGGAAGCCGAGGTTTGAACAGTGCCCTGGACCGCCACTGCGAAATCCTCCTGAAGATCAATCCCGGCTGTTTTTGCCTCATGCTTTGCAGTGGAGACGCCGGGGCACCTTTGAGTCTTCATGGTAGCACCATCAGTCCCAGTTAGAAGCTCCGAGTCACTTAACAAAGGGTCATTAGCTTCAGGCTCTTGGCCACTGGGCCTAAGAGCAACTGCCAACACATTTCACCCCTTCCACCTTGAGGCAGAGCACTATCCTTTAGGTTTCGCAGGCCCCAACTCAGGGTGGCTTTGAAGCCTAGCCAATAGGCGGGGAAATGACTTCACGAAGTCCCATGTGTCTCTCTCCCTTTGTAGGTGGTTTTTCTCCTCTGTGCTTATGTCACAGTGTACATGATCTACGGGAAATTTCGGAAAACGTTTGACAGTGAGAATGACACGTTCCGCCTGGAGTTTCTGCTGGTCCCAGTCATTGGCCTCTCCTTCCTTGAGAACTATAATTTCACTCCCCTGGAGGTAAGGAAAGGGACCCAGAATACTAATTCTCAAAGACAAACATGCTCCCTAACATCCTGCCCTCCCAACGTCTGGGCTTGCTTTCTGCTACAACCATGACCATTACTCATATTGTTGTTTAGAAATTAGCCACAAGCTACCCTTACTGCTCCACCTGAAAACGGGCACATCTAGCGATGTTCGCAAAGCAGGCATCACAGCACTTAGGTCTGTTGGGACCTGTGGCCAACAGGTGGTTAATGGACACGAGGGTGCAGTCCAGGCTGAGATTTCAAACTCAGCAGGTCTGGGCTGTGGGGCAACAAGAATATCAGGAGATTCTGATGCTAGTGTTCACTATTTTGAGAAACCTGGCCTCAATTAAGGTGAGTTTATACAAGAAAATTCTGCAATTAAAAAATAATGTGCTATAGAAATGTTCATACTGTGTTGTGAAAGAAAACAGCAGTATGCTTGAATCTTTAAAAAGTTTTTGTATTTACAGATAGGGGGTGGAATGCTATACTGATGAAAATATAAAAAATTGTAAGAATATGATTTACTGTGTTCTCTCGAATGAACATATTTTAGCAATTCTCTTATTAAAGAGATGGGCCCCTTCTGGGTCTTGATCAGCCTCCTCATCTCCCTGGCTCAGATCCTCTGGACTTTCTCCATCTACCTGGAGTCGGTGGCCATCCTGCCCCAGCTATTCATGATCAGCAAGACCGGGGAGGCCGAGACCATCACTACTCACTACCTGTTCTTTCTTGGGCTATACCGGGCACTCTACCTGGCTAACTGGATCAGGCGGTACCAGACTGAGAATTTCTATGACCAAATTGCAGTGGTGTCTGGGGTGGTACAGACCATCTTCTACTGTGACTTCTTCTACTTGTATGTGACCAAAGGTAGGTGCTGAGAGAACAGTGTTGCTGGCACTGCCCCAAGGGGTACTCATCTACTTGGTGTTGAGGGCAGGAAGGTGAACAGAGGCAAGCCTCTGGACCTCGCAGTGCTTATTCTAATGAGGAAAGAAAAGTCTTTTCAGGAAACAGTTAAGTGCCATGAAAAAAAATAGAACAGGATACTGTATGTACAATGCAAACACTGTGTACAGCGAAGACAGCTATGAAGTAATGAGACAAAATTAGGAAAATATAGAAAACCATTCCAGAGAAGAGCTTATGTATAAGCCCCAAGGCAAAACAGCTTGGTGTGATCGAGGACAAAAGGGCTCGTGTGGTCATAAATCTATAAACCCAGAGGTATCAGGTCAAGCAAGACCAGTCACAAGGGGCCTCAAAGGCCCTGTAAGGAGTTTGCATTGCATTTTGATTGCAAAGGGCTGCTACTGGAGGGGTTGTTTAAAAAAACCAATCCCCTATGTGCTGCGTAGGGAAAAAAGCAGTCAAAGCAGGAAACTAGTTATGGGGCAGTTGCAACGGTCCAGGAAGAGGTCATCAGTGCAAAGGGATGTGGAGTTGGGGTTTGCTGATGGATGGCTGTGAAATGTGGACTAGTCAGATGCGGAACTTCCAGACTAAGGGGGTGGTGTTGATGGTATCAGTAACCAAGATGGGGGTGAGTGAGTCTGTAGTTAACCTGGCAGGGAGTTTTCCCTTTGGTTTTAACATCTGAATGCCTGGGAACAGGGCGTTAGAGATACTAAGATTATGCACAAAGATATAGTCCTTTCATCAGTGTGATAAACTCTAATTTCATCTTCATTTTCTTCTAGTCCTTAAAGGAAAGAAGTTAAGTCTTCCGGTGCCAATTTGAGGTCCTCAGAGGTGTCCTACAACTCCAGGACATGAAGTAAAATATTTGAAATGTTCTATTGGGTGACTTATACATGACTCAGAACAAATGTTAAAATTAAAACCAGAAAAGTGAAAAAAGTGTGGATTTCAGCAAAGCACTCATCATTCTATCTAGAAGACCTTCTCATCAGTACATCCTTTATAGAGGTAATGAAAAGCTGGGCCAATTACACAAATATGGTGCTGCACCGTCAACTGGATCAAGAAACCTTGGGTGCCTAACCTGTGAATGGGTCAAATAAACGCTAGCTCTCTAAACCCCTAGTGCAAGACTCATGCTAACAAGTCAGTCTCAACCTGGAAAGATGTCAGGGTACAAGGCCACATTTACAAGCTTTGGCAAGTCGTCAGTAGTTGCATGCTTTATCTTTAAAATTGACCTGAGTCCTATTGTGGTACAAGGTAGTCCCACACTCAGTACCTTAATACAAGTCACAACCCTAGGTGGGCACTATTAGCATGACCATTTTACAGGGGGAAACAGATACCCAAGCCTTTACCTACTTACTAGGCACTGTCTTGTTGCTTTGTGACTCAAATTTTTGCAGTAAGACGAATCAGTCCCACCTCCCTTTCACATTTTTAGGTGCTAAGGTGATTTCCAACATCCCAACCTTGGCCTGAAGCAAATAAAAACGATAAAAGAGGGCTGTCACCGGACTGTAGTCAGAGAATTTTTAAGCAATAAAACGCTCGGCACCTTATTGTCAACAGTGTTTTATTTATACCTACAAAAGAAAACAAGATGGTATCAAAAGGACAATTTACAAACTAAGAATAGCAACATAGCGTTTAGCATCCTGTGCCTGAACATCACACATCTACAAATCTTTCAAGTCTTAATGCAACAGGAATGTGTTCAGAGACCAGCAAGGACGTGAATAGAGCACTGATCCCAAGCAAAAGCCACCTTTTTAGATGAGAGGAGTCCACACACACACAATGAATTGTTAGGGAGGGACTGGGGAGAAGCAGCCCCAAAGCTTAATATTGAAATCTGTTTTCTAAATGAGTTTCAACCATGACCACATACCTAGCATCAAATGAGATCTCTTCTGCTCATGTTCTGAAAGCAAAGGCGGAACCTAATTATGAGTGACAGACACAGGAAGCAGTTACTTTAGAATTACAGGAAAAACTCTGCTAGATTCCAGCTGTGCTCAGACCATAAGAGTCTTTAAGACTTGGAATATGCTGTTATTTTGACTATATGATTACAACATCCCTGGTGGGCAAAAGGGAAGCAAGCAGACCAAATACCACTTGCTTGCCCAGAGACCTTTCCCGAAAAGGGGTGCTTGTAAGACCTGCAAGAGTAGGACACTCCCACCGGTGGCACCTGTTTTTAAAAAAACATCAGAATTTTGGTGCAGAGATGTCTACAATGGACTTGTCAGTGCTTAGGCAAAAAAAATTGTGAAGACACTTTGGTTGGAAAGCACAGAGCAGTTTTGCCACATTTTTCCTGTGCCTACTATCCTCCCCTCACCCTAAACTTCTATAAGGAGAAAAAGAAAAGTTAAGGAAGAAAGTAGGGGGTAAAAAGATGTCCAAGTTCTTACATGCATATATTTCAGCGTATGCTGATAACCTACCTGTATGCTGCATATTCAACCATACTTTCAGAACCCCTCAGAAACAACCCCTTCTCTCCCTGAAGAACTTAAAAAGGAAAACAAAAAACCTCAAGTATTTAGATATTTGGATCTTACAAACCAGCGAGCACTCTCAGGCCTTAGCCAAAGAATGCAGTGGAGCCTTCCCCCTTTGAGTACATTGTGAATGAACAATACTGACAACAGCACTACAAAATGAAGTCTCACACTAGGTATGGAAGAGGTTTCTGGGGCTGTCTGATCTCCCTGTCCTGTTATGAGTGAACCCAAGAGATTCTTTCCAGGCCTATCTGTCATAGGCAGTATCAGTAAAACAATCAGTATTACTACAAAGGGGATGAACTCACCTACCTTTAGATGGAGGAAAAGTAAAAAGGTTTAGGCTTTAGTTCTCTGTAATTTTTCTCAAGCACTACCTACCTGTAAAAAGCTGAGTGCAAAAGGATGCCGAGGAAAATTTGCATCCGAAAGCTGTTACAAAGCACTGCAGAGAACAGAGTATGAAGAGAGTAAGAGTTCTTTCTTAACAAACCCTTGAGATTCTTTAAGACAACTTGGCCAAAAGGGCTGAGGAGGTGGCCAAGAGCTGCTTTTATTCTAGCTCTCGAGCTTAAAATTTGCCCAATGAGTATATTGTTTATAACTACAGGTGGTTTGTACACTACAAGTGAATGCATCTTGAACTGGTTAATCAGCTTCCAGTGAGCATTTATGTTCTTGCTCACAGCAGCTGTCTGGTTGGAAAGTGGATCTCACAGATGGTCCGTTTATATGGGGAAGAATAGGCAGCTTCCACCCAGATGCTGAGCTGCTACATTTAACCACTGCCATGAACACTTGGGGTTTTTCATTTAAAAGATACTTAAAAAAATTCCGACTCGGCAATTCAATTTCTAACCTGACACTAATATGGTTATTTTTCAGTAATCGGGAAGGGAGAAGGCAAGGTATAAGGGAGACAAAACGAATTAGGAATTTTTAGACTGTTGAATGCACTTATAACAAGCAACCAGCCAAAATGACAATGGCAAAGCACTGTCTTAAAAACTCATCAGGCCTGAAGAACCCCGTTCCAGCTTGAGCAACATTAAAAAACATTCTGGAAAATGTGCAGGGAAATCCCTCTTGGTTTTCTAACTAGTAATGAGAGCAATTTAAAGCACAGATGCCATCTCCTTCTGCAGAATCCAACCCTCTACCCTCCCGTACCCCCACCCCTCAAATTCAGGACAACAAAAACGGGCTCCCACAAAAGGGCCTAATACCTTGCTTTTTCTTTTAAGATGAAAAATAGCTCAAATATCCTCCACATGCAAGAAGTTGGGGGAAAAAAAAAAATCTCTTCCAGTCAGCTACACATATAATTTTTACAAAATCTGTTATTACAGACTGGATCAATTTGGCGGGCTGAAGAAACCTGGCAGAGAATTCTAACTAATCTGCAGGAAAGACAAATCACAATGGCTGGGAGAAAAAATAAAAAAGAAAGAAAAAGGGAAGAGGAAAAAAAAAAAAGGGAAAGACAGCGTTCCTTTAAATGTAGTAAGTCTGCGTAAGTCACTACCACTCTCGTGGTTTCATTTACGTGAAGGAGGAGGGGGAGGAGGAGGAGGGGGGTATTGGTAGGCAGTCTGCCCCATGTAACCTATCATATTGGTAGCTCCCGGAGGCTGTGCAAACTGTTGTGACATCAGTGGCTGTGGCTGCTGCCCAGACCGGCCTATCCCACTAAACTGCTGGCTAGAGCTCTGTGAACTTCTCCCAGTTGAAGCGGTGGTACTAGCCCCGTAAGTGCCAGCGCCATATTCTTGGGCCGTATAGCCACTGGTGCCATAAGCAGCTGCCCCATAGGTGCCTTGACTATAGGTGTATTGGCCTGCTTGTGCTCCAAAGGCAGAATTTGGACTTCCGTAGCCACTGCCATTAGCATAACCAGCTCTATCGGTTTCACTACGATCCCGATAGCTTGCAGAGTCTCTCCGGCCACCATCCTTGACTCCTCGAAGCCTCCGGTCACACTCATCCTGATACATCAGATTGGGATTGTTGGCTGAAGAAGTGGTCCGGTATCGAGAACGACCTCCTGGTGGGAGGACACAAGGAATCTTTAATGCCAGATATACAATCCAAACATATTCTTCTACCAGGTACAAAAGTATTCAACATTTTTTTATTGTTCTTTAGTTAGGCCAGCTTCCAAGTCAGCACTTAAAAAATATGCCCATAATTTGAATCTTGAATGGGACATATTTGAAATAATGGTAAACATTAAGAATATTCAATTTCTCACCCGTTTAGGACTTTACTTGAGGGTTATCAAGAAACACAATCTTAAAAATGTAGGAACAGTGGTAAACAGAGGTTTAGGTAACTTACCACAGGTTTTAACCCTCCGTTGGGCACAACTGATCTCACAGATTCATTGCACAGAAATTTTCAAATATCTAAGTTAACGTAATTACTGTGACTCATTGCTTCTGTGTCTTTCCCCTCTACTGTAACCTATCGCCAGTCGTGTTTGTGACTTAGTAAAGACGTATTTCATATTTGAAAATTTGTGTGTAAATGAATGTGTGAGATCAGCTGCGCCCAAACCACCATGAAGAGATGGCTCCTTCACCAGAGCGCAGTGGTTCAGTGTCGCTTTGTGGACCTAACTGCACTAGAATCATCTCATAAGTTTTAGGAAAGATGTTCAGGCTCCTAGTTCAATTCCAAACCCACTTAAAAAAAGAAAACCTGTATTTTTAAAACCTCTCAGGGAATTCTGATATAGAACTTAAACTTAAACACGCAGTAAGTTGGGGTAAAAAGAAATACCGAACTTGTAGTTAAGAGGCCTAGGTCCTAGTGTATTCTGCAACTGTCTAATTTTAAGATCCAATAGCTATGCCTGTTCTACTACCATAAAACGGTATAAATTAGGTATTAAAAGCAACCATAATTCAGCTTAATTTTGAACATACACGATGTACTTCAATATATAAAGGCCCATTTTATATCATCTACAGAAATACTATGCTGCAAAAGGACAATCATAACAGGCCCCAACCTTCACCTTGTCTTACTCAGGACAGATTATGAAAACTATTAAACACTGCCCTTTGTTCCTAAGCAACATACTTAAAGCCTTCACAAGACTGAAAAAACACAGCACAGTGAACACAAAGATACCTTGGCAGTTCCTGGAGAACTCCAGGACTTACCCTTACCCCCTCCTCCGCCGCCTCCTCTGTGGTCCACTAGCTGCATCAGTTTTGGATTGATGGCCTGATTGGCTTCTTCCAGCACCTTGATCAACTCTCGGGCCTGCTTTAGGTTTCCTGGGGTGAAGAAGGTGTAGGCCGTGCCCTTGTTGGTGCTACGGGCTGTTCGGCCAATGCGGTGTACATAGTCCTCTGAGCTGTTTGGATAGTCGTAGTTGATCACAAACTTGACATCTTCCACATCTTCCAAGCCAATGATGAGTCAGTGTGTAGGTTGACGTGGCAGGGAAAGAGAAGGTAAGGACATGCCAACGACAGGTAGGAAGCACGAATGCAGATGACAGCAAGAGGAGAGAAGATTAAGTTAGCAACCACTCTGAACAGGAACAGAAAAAGACTCATCCCAACAGAGTAAGAGGATTAATGATTCTCGGGACATGCAGAGGCAATGGCGTCAGCTATTATCGTATATATCAGCTTAAAATTCTAAGGGAATCCCATTCAACCCTCCCTACTCCTGCCTCTCCTGCATTTTAGCCAATATACAGGCAGGAGTTGTACCGAATTCCAGCCCTCTCCTTTGCAACACTGGAATGTAGAAGACAGTAGTACCACTATTAAGTCACAAGGCCAAATCACTTCTACTCTGTTGGGAGAAGCCTGGCAAAATCTACCGGTAACATAACAAACTTACCTTTAAACCAGTCACAGAGCAAAATGAAAAAAGAAACTTCGTATACTTTATTACTACATTTTTAAGGAGACTTAATCAAAACATTTAATTTTTTGCTTATATTTAAAAAAACTAATCAGAGTCCAAGTGCACATCTAGTTTCCTTTGCAGAAATATCCAAATTATCTTTCCCCTTTCAATTACAAAAGCACATTACACTAAAATTTCACTGTACTACCAAGCCCAGCTCTGCCAAATGAGGTTTTTTGCTCAACTCAAGGTTATTTTAACTCAATACTTGCTTCAATTATCAAAGATTGTCTACGTAACCTGGGAAATTAAATAGCCAGAGTGTGGGAAAAACCATGAAACCTTGAGACACAAGTTTAATGTTCTGTCTGCTGCTGGGAATTGGGTTGAAAAACCTCCTAATGCTTCAAGTATGTAAATGTTAGTGTAATGCTTTCAGCTAAATGTATATTTTTACCTACTTAAACAAACAAATTTAAGTATATAACAAAGAATCCTAATGTTTTGTGGAAAGAAAAATCTGCATTTTACAAAGAATATTCAGAAAATATCCTAGATAAAACACAGATTTTTGTGATATAAATAATTAAAAAGCATTCTCTGTTTGTTACCAGACCGATGCACACTCCCTCCTCCTTTGGGAAACCGCTGCAGCCGATCCCGTCTCTTTGCCTTTTATTTTTGGCGGCCTCCTTTCGAAAACTCCGCCTTCTGACACGGGACCACTGGAGCGCGGGGAGCATGCATCAAGGGTCCGTGGCAGTGAGAAGTCCCCACACACGCTCGCTCTGTGAACTGGCTTAGATGCTTCTCTGTAGCCCCATTTGGTTGCCAAGCGCCGGAGAACCTGGGTTCGGGTAAAAATTTCAGGTCCTCCAACGCCTCCCCCAAGGATAATTGGGGTGATTGTAGAAAAAAATAATTAATAAAAAAATGTAAGTTACATCCAAAGGGTCAGACTGCATCTATTGCCCAGACTGGATTAATTTCAGGGGGGAAAGGGGTGATGCTCAAAAAAAAAAAAAAAATTCAGCTATTGTTAAAGGGCCTGTGAAGAAAGGGGCATTATGTCTGTTTCTTATTACAATAAAGGCTCCTCAGTCTTTACTGACCCCTAAAGTCCTGAAATCACACCAGAAAGACGAGAAGGCAGTCATCACAGGGGGCAGCGTGAGTCTCCGGCTAGGGTCGTTGATGCAACAAGGGAAAAACAAAAATGTGCAGGGCCGGGATGGATGTGAGATGGGGGGTGGGCTGGGGTGGCAAATTATGCTCCATGACCACATCTTCAGAGCTAAGAAGGTGCTCCTCAGTCAATCCCACTGTGTGACCACAGGCACACGGGCACAGAGCCAGCTGAATTACTGCACTGGATGCCCGGACGTGTGCTTCCCTAGCAGGAAGCACGGGGGACTGAAGTCACCGGTTCAGATACTAATACTTGGGGAGTATCCCTGGAGGGGTTCAATAGGGGCAGACATGGTGCAAGTTCTTCATACTAGAAAGGTGTCCTGCGTGTGCACACAGAGCGGGCTGAGGACACATACGGGCAAGCGCAGGATGTGATTTTCTCCAGTCAAGCCTGCCCTCATGTTACTTGTGCACGGCCACAATATTATCTTGCTGCCTTTAGAGAAGATGCTGTAGCAGGGTGAGAAATTGCAAAGTTAATGTTTTGGCCAGCTGCCTAGGATGGCAACTTTTTGTCTGACAAGCCCTGTGACATGGCCTCAATCTCCAATCGCTAATTGGGAGGAACTGAGACTAGCCAATAGGCTCATCTAGAGCTGCTTCGGGCCAATGTAGATTGGTCTCGGCCATGTACTGAGTGATCTGCAGCTGTATCAAAGCTTCTGTTAAAAAACAAAACAAAATAAATTCAATACTTTTAGCTTAACAGTGTGTAATTTAAACAAAAAAAAAGGAAAAATCAAAAATATCCCAGTTGAAAGGGAGTAATAAATAGTGGTTTCCTGAGGATGACTAGTGTTAACAGTAGGGGAATCAAAGAACTTACCTGAAGGGAATATATAAGAAGCCATCTCTCGACAGGAAGTGAAAAAAGGCCTGGTGACTCAGCTGAAAATTGCACCCCTGTCTATGAGGTAGAAGCCTTCACTTTCCAGGATCTTGTAGGACCTTGGTCAGCATTCTGCCATTTTGGTGGGTTTTCCCCCTCCTTTTGATTTTTACAAGGCAGCAAACAAAGGGGCCCAAAACAAGCACTGATGTTGAGTAACAAGAAACAGACTCAGGTACCTTCCCTCTCCCCCTCACTTGGGTGAGTGGGGGTGGGATGAAGAGTCTAAGTTATTCTAATGGTAGCCAATTGATTTGGTTTAGAAAAGCAGGGGACCATAAACAATGTTTTTAATTGTCTAGGCAAGATGCACAAAGAAGCTACCAGCACATAGCAAGCCTGTTTAAAAACCACCATCACTGAAAGCTTTCATGTGAACTGCTTTCAGGCCTCTCAGCCTCTTCTCCCAACAGGCCCAAGTTCTAACCGCACAGATCCAGACATGACCTCAAGAGGGCAGAGACAACTTTTAGTCATGGCTGCAGGTCACCGCCTCTGAAGGAGGGAATGATGAGTGCAATGTATAAGTCTTCATTACTTTTGTATTCCACTTTGAATACTTGTTTCTTTATGTTAAACATTTTAAGGGAATATGGTACTTCTCGCCTTACTGGGCAAGAAATTAAATACATGTCAATAATTTAAAGGTATCTTTGTGACAGAAATAATCTCATCTTTTTTAAATATAAGTTTTGAGTTACCTCTGTTTAAGCTCAGAATAGGCTCAAGTACTGCGAAGTATCTCTGTATTTAAATCATAACAGGTCAAAAACTCCAGAACACCAGCCTCAAATTAGGTTCTTAAATTGGAATACAGCAAATCAATGATAAGAGTGTGGGGGAGGGGAGGGGAGGGGTGGCTGAGTGCCCATAATTTTACTTCAGTAAATAAAACTGGGCAATGCAGATTTAATTGCTGAATGATACTGTGTTTAGAGACTTACTAAACCCCAAGAATATATTATGCCAGCATTCATGGACTTGGACCTCCATATGTATCTAGCACAGATAAACTGGTATAAGGAGAAGGATAACTGAAAAAACTAGCTTCTGACAGTTAGGCTCAATCAGGCTCACTCTATCCAGCCAGATAACAGAATAAAACCAGGAAGAAGTTGAGCTGTTCAACTGAATGTCTCCTCTCCCTCTGAACAGTCATGCCTAGGCCTTGCTGCACACCAAAGTCTGTTTGTTAGGAGCAGAAAGAGACTTCGAAAATGTAAGAAAAAAGAAAAAACCCCCAAAATGCCAAGTTTAAAAAAAAATTGTGGGGGAGGGGGGAGAATCACACTTTGTATTCTTCTCTTTTAAATATTTATCTAAACAAACATATATACAACTCTAATTTGAAATGACAAACAAATCTGTAAACCAAAAGATACATATACCATTGACAGAGACACCTATCTATACAAACCTAGCCCACGGGAGGCTACGTCTGTGGCAATGAGGATGGGAGCCTTTCCAGAACGGAACTCTGCAAAACAAGAACGACACTATGAAATACATTGAAGGCTAAGTGGTATGTCTTTTAAAAATGACCAAATAAACATTCCTAGCTATCTGGCCCTTTTACCCTACCATGGTAAAATTTCAAGTAATGGTGTCAACACGCCAAGGTCTTTTAAATTTAAGAACAGTAATTATTTTGAAAATCTATTGCTCTCTCTTTTAGCAGAGGGGTCAGAGGGGCAATAAACCAGAAGTTACCTCTAATAATGAAATACTATTAAAATGGTATGGCAATTTGTAACAAAATCACATGATCTAGGATTTTTTCCCCTTAAATTATTACACTAAAGTTATATCCCACATGAAATAAAACCAATTTTGGGGCGGGGGCAAGTTTAAAACATGTGGAACGCAAGGACAAACCATACTTTCTCCTGTGAAATAATAGAAAAAAAAATCTATTGGTTTCTGTCCCCAGTTCCTGACACAGAGTTCCTCAAATCCTTATAAATAGGGATGCTAGGAGAATCTTTTATTCTAATACTTAGTCGTTGACCCAGGTTCCTGACAGGGTTCCTAAATCCCTCGTATTTCCTGGGTGAGAAGAGTGCTTTTTTCTGATAAGGTGACACTTGGTGGGCTCTAGAATAGCTCTTGAAGCGGGCTGGTAACAAAAATAAACAAATAAAAATAGTATCAAGCCATAATGAGAAACTTGGCACTTTTAGCTCCACTCCCCATCCTCGGAGAAGGGGAGAGGCACTGGAGATCGAGTTAATGATCCATCATGCCTATGTGATGAAGCCTCCATAAAAACGCAAAAGCATGGGGCTTGGAGAGCTCCTGGGCTGGTGAGCGTTATCTATAAAGACAAGAACTTATTACATAAAGGAAGGGTGGTGTAAGTTGTGAAAAAGTGTGAAGAGCCAGCATTGCTGACCTTAAGAACCTTTGGAGATAAGCCAAAAAATGCCCCAATAGTCAATTAACTAAAAGCAGTGCTAGGCAAACTAGCCTGCAGGTCAAATCTGGCATAACACCTATTTTTGTAAATAATGTCTTGCTGAAACGCAGCCAGGCTGTTTGTTTCCTTACTTACTGTCTTTGGTCATTTTTGTGCTACAACAGCACAAAGCTGAATAGCTGTGACACACACTATCTTACAATCTGCAAAGCAGAAAATATTTACTATGTGGTCCTTTTACAGAAAGTTTATCAATTCCCAAAATAAGAACATCAACAATGCTTAGTTTTGATTTTGAACTCACCATTAAGTACCCAATCTCTTTCTGGTTGACTCTTGTCTCCATGGATACACATAGCTGGCCAACTGTCAGAAGAAAAGTGATCAATATTTTACAAATCTTAAAAAAAAAAAAAGAGGAAACTAAGCTTTAGAAAGAAGTATAGGGCCGGCAGAGTGGTGCGATGGTTAAGAACTGGCTTGGGATGCCAGAGGGCCCCGGTTCGGATCCCACATGAGGGCCAGTGACA